TCTCAGGTTTCCTGAGTCAGTTTTGGCATAAACAGAACTTGGGTCCAATTCTTGAATCCAACTAAAATTATATTTTAAAAAGCAGCTGTTGTTATATTAGCTCTGCAAATACGTTTCTAATCATGTCGACTGATGAAAGCGTCGTCACATGTATTGACTGAATTTAATTATTTTTTCGTCTGAAATAGTTTAGCCCTGAAGCAGCTCTATAACTTACACTGCAAGTCTCATTAAAGCTACCGTCAAGAATTCATGTGGGTCATTAAGTAATTTTTAATGGGATTTTAATGCAGGAGCTTTTCATGTAAGAGGTTTCCTTGTTCACTTCTACTTCGTTTAGGGTTTGAAACCGACAACCCAACAATCAGGTCTCGGCTCGCTTTTGTTGCCGCGACTCTTCCCGCTTCCTCTGGCGGTTCATCGAAGTCCTCCTTCAGTTGGAGGTCACAGATCCTCATAAATTTTGATGGTTGTGCGCTACCTCAGTGAGATGTACACTTAGTAGATTACATTAGATTAGATTAGATGAAAAATTAATGATTCCTCCAGGGGAAAGTGAGTCATTGCTGCTGCAAAGAATTGGATATAGCAATAGTTAGGAGGATATAAATAGAAATTGAGCAAATAAAGGGCATAGAAATATGTCTGGAAAATGCTAATGTGTCTCGTCAAAAACGATCAGCTCTCAATTACACTGTGATACCATGTCAATTTGAAAATTGCTCAAGGAATCAGACATCAAAACTACCCACCTGCTTGTTTCCTATCATAGTAAATGTGCTGCAGACTCCGGCTGTAAGACCTTGTAAACTCCAGCAGGAGTTTCAGCAGGACCAGGTTATAACCTTGTAAAAAACCACTCGCCTATTGAGTTACACATCAGATCATGCTGATTCTATTAGATAGGAAGGTTTAGATGAACTGAGATTGATGCAATGTTTGTTTTTTTTCAGTCATGTTATAGACAAATGATCAAGCTGTTGTTATCTCTCTTGCCCTTGAAGACAGCATAGTTTGTTTAATGCTGTTGTTTATATATAAACCGTGTACTATCAGGATGCTGGAAGGAGCAGAGTCAAGGTTGCAGTGACTCACTTCCCATCCACATTTTTATGACAACTACAGTATAATATACAAGTGTATGAAAGTGCATGGAAGCACATTGTGTTATTGAAGTAATAGCACAAAGTCAGTGTGACTTCATCACAAACACATCAGCATTCACAGGAGACTCCACTGAAATGTCATGCACCGGATGTTGTTTCTTCTATGTAAATGATGCACGGTGTGGTTTCACAGTATATGCAGTGTGTCAGCAGGATGATAGTTCATAAGTATTTCCCATATTGGCAACAAAACATAACAAAAGAGATCAACAAGAGCTTAACCAATGCCGTTCAGTTCGTAAATGAGTATATCTCTGTCTTTTGGATGTGATTTCTTTCTCTTCGGATGCAAACCAGTTTATTAACGGTATACAAAACATATGATATGCAAGATTTATTAAAATACATTAACATGCATAGTTTTGATTGACTTGCATTTTTCATTACCGCTCCTTCTAGTAACTATTCAACCACCCAGCAAAGCACTGTCAGGTCCCGCAGTGTAAAAAGACATAGAGCGCAAATGGAAAAGATACTTCGCTCTTTTCAAACAGGAAATGTAACTAGTAGTTAGTTTCTCTGCAGATTAAGATTTTGGGCAAAAATATATTAAATAAGTTCTTGAAAATCTTGACCAGCTACAACATATAAATGTATAAATAATATATACTGTATTTATAACATGTAAATGTATAGATAATAATAATAATAATAAAGTATCTTAATATACTATAGTAGCTGCAGTATTTACTGTACTGATACAACAACAACACTGAGCACAAAAAATAAAAGACTTGAAGCAGCGTAAATACATGTGGGCCCAAATTTCTAGCCGGAGGGGAATCGAGTCTTTATGCCTATTAGTCCATCTCCATGGCAACCTTGAGCCGTGGGTCACTGTAGCTGTAGCAGACAGTGAGAGAAGAAGAAACTGCAGCCAGCGTCCTGTCACACTCACCTGTGCTCAAGTGGCTATGAGTGTGACTGTGTTATTATGAGTAAACAAGCAGCTGGTTCAGATTACACTGTCATCTGCAAACAGCAGAGCTGCACTTCAGGGTCAGTGTGTGGTACGACATGTCCTCCTGCTCTTTGTCATCACCTGCACCATGTTTTATGATACGGCCAAATTCACAATTTATTTGATTTTATTTACACATTCTTCATGTCAGCCTACATTTGAACCAGTTTACTATCATTTTACAGGCAGTTGTTGTCGGTTGGTTGTTGCCATTCAGCGTTTCTTTAAGCAGATGCATTTTTATACATTTTTATGACGTGCTAAGATCATTATTACACACTGTGATGATTTACTCTCCTGTAGGAGCGTCTGTGAACAGCAGCTTTCAGTTACTGTGGAGTTTATGGGCTAACTGTAAATTCACAGCAGGATTAGATTCCATTGTTCTCCGCTCAGTGTGGTTTTGACGTTATGTCCCCACAGCTTCACTCGGGGGACACTCGTGCACACACACACACACACACACACACACACTCTCTCTCCTCTGAGTTCATGGCCTCTGTAATAAAGTTAAGCCCATGTTATGACTTTCCAGATCCTTTTAAATCTTTCTGGCTCTTATGAACGTTGTAGTCGTGGTGGAGAAAGAGAAAGACAATACAAGAGAAGTGTAAGGAATTATTCCCTTGACTGCCTCATTGTCCCACGAGGCTTATTTTGTCTATTCAACTGGTTGTGCGTCTGTTACTCTCTGGCACCTGGCTGCGTTCAGCATTGAGTCTGTGTCACAGTATGTGTGTGTGTGTGAACACCTACGTACATATGTGTGTGTGTGTGCGTGCAGTGCGGGGTGTGAAAACGGCGGCAGTGTAAGGTTACAGAAGGAGATCCATTACTTCACCATGGCAGCCGGCCTTAATTACAGCTAACTATAGACGGAGCAGAGGGAGCGAGAAGAGATGGAGAGAATGGGAGGCATGGAGGGATGGAGAGAGACGGAGCAATGAGTGTAATTAAAAAGTCTATTTGAAACCGTGAGATTATTACATTGATGAGGTTTGTGTAATGGCTTGTACAAAACTATAATTCCTACTTCTTACTGTATGTATGCAAACATAGATGGACTGCGCTTTTCTAGTCTTGACGACCGCTCAACGCTCTTTCAGTCACATTCACCCATTCACACACATTCATACACAGGTGTTGCATCATGGGAAGGCAATTTGGGGTTCAGCTTCTTGCCCATGCCGACTGGAGGAGACGGGGATCGAACCGCCAACCCTCTGATTAGTGGACTCTACTGTTCTCATGAGCCACAGACGCCCCGTCATAAGTGACAACTGAATCGACTTTTAGAATAGTTACTGATTAATTTTCTGTCAGTTGATCAGTCCAGTAGTCGTTTCATCTTCCATGTTTATCTTTGTATCAACACCGGGAACTTACATTTTTCTGGTATTCATCTCCAGAATTTGCTCCTTTTTCCTTGGGGTAAGTGCAAATTTTGAAAAAGTTTCATCTTTGCATGATGCTCCTAAATTTGACTTCAGGTTCAACGTGAGCACAATTTGAAGATGCTGTCACACCTGCTTGGTTTGGGTCAGACACGTCTCGCATAGCCAGACCTCCACAGTGCTGTGTCAGCGCTGGAGAATGGTCTGTCTGCACCCTTTATCTTTCCGCTATAGGGGGGAAAACACAGTTAAAATCCACCCGTTTCCACCTGTTTGTCACTATTTGAGATGAACAAGGTCCAGTTCCAGTCTCGACTAATAGTGCTGATACTCTGTTGTTTCTTTATGAGCTCTTTGTGACACCAGAGGAAATAAATCAACACATAACACCAGAATTTAATTTCCCTGTGTGGCGCTGATGATGCAGGATGACATCACTAAAACTGCAGTCAGAGAGTTGCCTGTCAGTCCTTGTACCTTTGTATTTACAGCTCTTGGTTGGTTTTGAAATCATGTGCAGATCCCGACTACTCGAGCTTGATTTCTCACCTCAACATCAGCAGACTGTTTCTTCTTTTTTTTTTTTGTGCCAATGTCTTTGTAAAAACACAAATGTGGGACGTATAGCTCTTTTATATTTCTTGACCTCAATGTTGCACACCCACATGAGAGACAGCAAGCAGAGACCGTACGAGGAGAGGGAAGGCGAACTGCAAAGTACAAACCAGCCTGTTGTCTGGAAATAGAACAGTGGTGTGAAGTGTTGCAGCGTGGGCCGAGCCGCCGCCGGTGTGGGCGTTGTACATAGAAAATAGTAGGGGCGGCATTCAGTGGCGGTGTGTTATGGCCTTTAGATCAACAGTACTGATTATTCATTAAAAACTGGTGAAGCCAGTGTCAAGGGTATGAATATTGATCACAAATTTACTGTAGAATTGATTAATATTACGCTGACTGTGTGGAGCTAAAGTGGAACTTTAATGAGAGATCTCTAACATCCGATGAGTCCAGACAAATGTGCATGGATAATGCTTTTTCTACGTCTTTTCAAACATAAACATGTCAGCCTTATATCATATCTGTTGAACTCTGCGTAAATTTAAGCACGCAGAGACACACACACACACACACACCTGACAATACCGCTCACACACTGTCAGTGGTGACATTTCCCTTTTTGTTTGTCTTTCCTAATTAGCAGTCTCTTCTGCTCGCCTGGCGCAGTGTCGGCCAATCGGCAGAGACCGCTGATTACCCAGGGTTCATTTCAGGGTCTTTGTCAAATGAAGAGTGAAAGTGACAGCTCAATCTAACCTCAGCAATAAGCCTCACATGGCCGCCTCCTCACTGCTGGTGGAGAGATTCAACTTGGCTATCATCTAGGGGGCACACAGGATGGTACTTTGAAGCTAATTGAAATGCCACCCTGTTCTTTCTTTTTATGTCCTCTTTCTTTATCTTCCTCTTTTTATTTCTTAGTTCTGGATGTCTGCCCTGGCCACCACCATCCCAGTGCCCTGCGGAGCCTTCATGCCAGTGTTTGTTATTGGTAAGAAGCAAATGGTTGTGTGTGTGTGTGTGTGTGTAAGGTTAGTGAGAGTGGATGTGTGTGTTAGGTAGAAATGTGTTATTTACAACAAGTAGGAAAAGTTTTGTTTAAAATTCATCAGTCATTATGTTAATTAAATTAAAAACTTACTTTTACCATATCCTCTTAACATGAAAGGAAACTTTTAGAATTAAATGAGAATCAACACTGCTCTTATTTCTGTACAGTAAAAATGAAGCTACAGCCAGGAAATGTTAGCGTAGCTTAGCACAAAGGCTGGACACAAGGGGAAACAGCTAGCCAAAAGTCATAAAATCTTCCTCTAAAGCTCACTAATTAACACATTTTATCTCGTTTGTTTTGTCCTCACAAAAACTGAAATGTAAAAATGACTTTTTACCTCTAAGCAGAACCAGGTTAGCTGTTTCCTGTAAAGCTAAGCTAACTGGGCACTGGCTTTTGTTAGCATAACAACAATGAGAGTGGTATTAATCTTCACCTCTAACTCTCAGCAAAAAAGTGAATAAGTACAAGTACATTTTCCAAAATGTTGAACCAAGTGTGCCAAAAAGCTTTAACGCATTACTGCACTGAATTGCTTTCCTTCAAACATCAAGCTAGCTGAGGAGAGTAGATCTATAACGTAGCAAAGCTTAATGCTCAAACATTGGACAAAATGGCTTCTGTGAGAGGGACAGAAATGTAATTGTCATGTTAAGGCTGTAATACCTTAAAGGAGCTAATTGTAAGTTTTTGCAATTGCTACGTAGCTGACATTAGCATTAACAGCTGTTTACCTACAGTCTAGAAGAAACGTTGTGAGTTCATTATCAGATTTCATTCTCCAGTGATGGAAAGCTTACGCCACTGTTAACTCGTGTCTCTATCATGTTAGCATGCTAACCAGCTAGCCGACAATCACCACCATTCGTAAGAAACTATGTTTGGCAGCAGAGAAAACTTACATTCATTCATTAATTATTTGGTTGGTTATGAGGCCCAGTATTGATTCTGAGTCTCTGTTTCTTTGTGTGTGTGTGTGTGTGTGTGTGTGTGTGTGTGTGTGTGTGTGCCTTCTAGGGGCAGCTTTTGGTCGTCTGGTTGGAGAAAGCATGGCAGCCTGGTTCCCAGATGGCATTCACACAGATGGCACCATCTACCCAATAGTGCCAGGAGGCTACGCTGTCGTGGGTAAGTTAAAGAGACAATCAGTGCAGATTCTCTGCTCTAATACCTTCCTCTTTTTTTCCCCCTTTTTTTCTTCTATTTATTTCTTGAAAGTCGTTTTTATTGTTAGATTCAGATCATTAAAATTTAGGGTTTTGGCACTTGCCACTTTTGTGGTAACTACAAAATTATTTCTCCTTCTTAAGCAGCTCCACTAAGTGATTCAGTCTGTTCAAGATGGAAACTATACATTTCTTTCATTTCTTTTTTTTTCTTCTTCTTCTCATTAGGTTTCTGTGCAGAATCAACCTGTCCACTTTTACCCTTCTTTCCACCACTCATAGAAAATGAATAAATGCGAATATTTCCTACAGCTCAATTTACAGCTCCAAATTGAGACTGTAAATGGACCCAGATTAAAGGAGACATAAAATATGATCAGACTCAAACACTCGAGACAGAATCCAATTACATTTACAAGATCGCCATGTTAAACTCAACAAAACATCCCCCTGCAAAAACAGTTCAGACACCAGTAGACAAAACTCAAAACTTGGTGGTAGTGGTGCTCCTAGGTGCTTATATCGTACTAGAAAGTTTGGAAGTTGAAAATGCAACTTGTTGTGTAACTTAAAACATCTGAAGTAGAAAGTAGCTGTTTTTTGGCTGTTGCTTCATAGAGGAAAATCAGGATGGAGAGGATTTAAAGAGATGTTACATACAGTTTATATGTATGTACACTCAGCAAGCACTATACTAATACTGGGTAGGGCCTCCCTTTGCTTTCAATACAGCCTCAGTTCTTCACGATGCACATTCATGCTGTGAATATTCTGCCGTACCACATCCCACAGTCGTTGAGATCTGGAAGTTCACTGAACTCACCGTCATGTTCATGAAACAACTTTTGCATTGCAACATGGAGCATTATCATCCTGGAAGTAGCCATTAGAAGATGGTAAACTGTGGCCATAAAGAGATGCACATGGTCAGCAACAACACTCACATAGACTGTGGCATTCAAACCATGGTTGATTGGTGTTAAGGGACCCAAAGTGCCAAGAAAACACTCCCCACACCATTGGCCCAACACCATCAGCCTGGACTGTTGACACAAGGCAGGTTGGGTCCATGAATTCATGATGTTGGTGCCAGATTGTGACCCAACCATCTGCGAGCCTCGGTAGAAATCCAGTCACTTAGATCACATTTTTCCCTCAACATAAACATCAACTGAAGCTCCTGACCTCTATTTCCAGGATGTTATGCACTGCACTGCTGCCATATGATTGGCTGACTGGATAATTGTAATACAAATTATAGGAAGGGCCCATTGTTTTGCTCCTGTTCTCACCAGACATCTCAAAAATCTGTAATTCTCGTTATAGATATTGATTATTCCCAATCTTAGTTAGCGCTTGGTAGCAAAGCACTTCTAAAGGCACTCAAAGATGCTTTACCCAGATAAACAATGAGCAAAAATAAGAAACACAGGAAAACAGAGCAGCAGGAAAAGGAAGAGTAAAGTAGGTGAGTGTACAACTACAGTAAAACATGTTCTCATATAAAAGCATCGGTGACAGAGCGGGGCGTTAAAAAGTTAAAAGCAGCTTTAAAAAGGTGAGTTTAGAGTGCTGTCATAAAGCTGGGGAGGGCGACAGAGCATTTAATGTCCATGGGGAGAGAGCTCCAGAGGGTGGGGGGGTGGGGGGCAGTGATGGACAAAGCTCCGACACCCAGGTTCGGTGTTTGGTCGTCCGGAGGTTTGAATCGATGAGCAGAGGTTTCGTGCATGGGTGTGATGGAGGAGGAGATCAGAGAGGTCGGGGGGGGGGGGGGGGGGGGGGGGCATAAAAGCCTCCCAGTGGCATCCTCTTGCTTCGTGACTTCAGTCAGAGTCCACGTTTCAGCCCTGTTTGATTTTGGTATGTAACAGAGCGAATGAAGCGGCACATAAACGGTTTCGATTATATCTCCTGAACTGCTGAAGAGGAATTTAACAGTGAAGCGACTGCAGGAAACGTCAAGTTTTTATTAACAGTTTAACTATGAAATGTGAATACAACACAAACTTTTGTCCTGTCCCAAAAAAACGTAGCATGCATTAATGGGCAAAACATATAAAGGACAGATAAAAAGATAACAAGATATTTAATTATACCCATCGAATTACTTTTGTCATTTCAGTGAATTCTTACATTTCAGGGTAAAATGGCTCGCCGTCCTGTTGTTGCTGGAGCTCCAGGGAGAATATATCTTCTTATGGATATCATAACTTAGAATAAAACACTGGAAAAGTGTAAAATAGGGGACCTTTAACAGCGATCAGATAAAGTTCTGGTATTATCTAAAACACTTAGAAATGGCTTCTGTTATTGTTCCTATTCCACCTGATTATGAAATAGTACAGACTTTACAATGTGATGTTTTCGGCAGAAACACCCTTGATTTATTCTTGTCTTGCGGACACCAGCTGCCCCCCCCCACCCCCCACCCCCCTAAAATGTAACCACATCATTTCCATCCTACCTGAAGTCGTGCGTCTAATGAGATGCAGTGTTGTGATTCCCCTCCACTGTGCCACTTGTTGACAGCCGCGCTGATTATGCCGCTGTTGCGAGTTGGCGACGGCTGTTTTTCTGGGCTGCTGATGTTGTTGTGCTGCGCTGTGGCTGATGACTCAGTCCTTTACAGGCCTGACACTCTGATGAGCCTCTTTCAACTCACAGCGGAGCTCGCTTTAAGGACTAAATGTTAGGCTGGGCAGAGGGAGCAGCAGCATTTATCTGAGGAGGCAAGGCAGACACACACACAGGCTTAATTAACTTAGGAGACAGAACAGTGAAACCTGCCTTTGTAGACTCTCTCACCCACCATCTGTTTCTCCCTGCTCCCCTCTCTCTTTTCACTTTAGTTTAATGCTTTTATTCTTTCTATTCTCTTTTTTTTTCCCAGTGTTCATCTCATTCTTTGGATTGGACTCATCCATTTTCTCTGCTGAGCAGCGAAGGCTCACGTCGCCTCATGCTGCTCCGTCTGCTTTAATGCAGCTTTTATATTGCTGTTTTTCTTTCTTTCTTTCTTTCTTTTTTTTCTTTTTTTTTTTACAACACTTTATTGAGCAGAAAAAAAGATTTGGAAATATTGAGGTTCCCTTTTGTATTGAATTAGCTGAATAAGTAGATTTTTTTCCCATATGAGTATATGAGAGGAGGAGAATGTGAATTAGGTTTGCTGGGCTGGGAGTATATAAAGGAGAGAGGGTGATTGGTCTGGTCAAGGAAACTTATAAAGGGATGATAACGTTGACAGCTTGAAGTGGGGTTTTATGGATTGGATCAATAATGCTGGATGTACAATATATTGTATGATCTGACCCATGAATGTTCCAGTATTGGACAGATTGTTACACATTGATTTCCTGCTCTTTTTTCTGTCGGTAGGAGTATAAATGAGTAGAGGAGATAATAATGATGAAAGCGCTCCAGTAAAAGTTACATATGATATTTATCAGCCTGGTATTAGTCAGTAATTACTCCAGTATCACAGTCACATATACACCATCGTAAGGAATATGTTATTATCACACTATGATTGCGCTGTATACGCTGTTTACTTTATTACTGATTTTAGGAGGTTGAGTCGGAGCTAATCTCAGTTTTATCCATAACAATACATTGTATTAAATAAGTTCATCATTGGTTTAGTATGTAAATATTTATCTTAAAGTAACCACTAAGGTTACTAAGGCGACTAGGGTTCAATCGGCCACTACACTACAAGGGGGAATGACTATAATAAGAACAGCTACACATCCATGTGTGCGTCCATGAGTGAAAGTGAAAAATCTCAGCAACTCGTTAAGATATGTTTTTATTGATCAACGGTCCTCTCTCTTGTGTGTTATGGAGTAGTAAAAATATTATTTATTGCACTTGAAATATTGAACTGTCTGTCATTTAGATGGATGATGCACCAGACCTGAGCTAAACGATTGCTTTTATGCGTTCCCTCTCTGTTCTTCCTCTCACCCCACTGTCCTCTCCCCCTCCGCCCAAAGGTGCGGCGGCCTTGTCGGGAGCGGTCACCCACACGGTTTCCACCGCAGTCATCGTGTTCGAGCTGACTGGCCAGATCTCCCACATCCTGCCGGTGATGATAGCGGTGATCCTGGCCAACGCCGTGGCCCAGTCCCTGCAGCCCTCCCTCTACGACTCCATCATCAGGATCAAGAAGCTGCCCTACCTCCCAGAGCTGGGCTGGGGACACCACGAGTACGTACTGCGAATGTTCACTATTAAACTAATAATTAACTAAATTAACTGCTACAGATTTATACCATGTGCAACCAACACAAAATCATGCCAAGAAAGTCATTTTAAAAAATTTCTGATTTAAAGATTTTTCAAGAAATGGCATTGTCTAAAAACAATTGAAGTTATTGATTTGCGTAATTAGCGTTTTTTATCACGCCTGTCTACTCCATCTTTGTGCTAGGCTAAGCTACTGATAGCCTTTGGACAGAACCAGGCTAGCTGAACAGCATTTTTAAATGTTGACATGCTAAAGTTTAGGTTTTAACAATTAATATTTAAGTTATTAGCACGATAATGCTGGCATGATAGCAAGTGTGTCACTTGTTAAGCATGTTAGCATGCATATGATAACATGTCATTTTGTTTCCACTGAACTATTTTCAATGGAAAGTAGCTTAAATACCTTCATCCATTATATCATCCCATAGTTACTATATTTACCATTTATACACGATTTGAAAAATGACAGTAAGTGGAGCTAAAGTTTGAGAAGGAGTTCTGCTGACTGGTCGAACCACATGAGAAAACATTCACTGAGAAACACTGGTGACTCGATGAGTTCAGGTTTGTCCAAAAAAATCACAAGATATTTTGTGCTTGGTGCAGGCATCTGACAAGTCACCAGATCTAGCAAGAAAGGCTCCTGATTGGCTCACTGGATGAGAATTCATCGATTACTTTTAGAGGTTTGATGAACTGATGTGTTGGAAACAAAACATTTCGACCTGTTGTTGACTCTAGATGAAAAGTCAGGCTGTTATTCATCCTCTTCATGCCATTTTCATTGCAGTTGTGCAGTTGTGTGGCTAAAATATATGCAAAAGGAACGTATGAATGTCCAGTTTATTCGTCCATATAGCATACACTATGTACTACAAGTGTATTTGTCGAGGTTGCAGGCCAGTCAGTTTTGTTTGAGTGTTACTGAAAGTTTCTCTTTGCTCTGCAGAGGTTTATTTCTTTAACTGTGGAAGGTTAATTAGTTAAGTAATGGTTTAGAAAAAGTGTCTGTGTTCCCAGTTCTTAATGTAACTTTTTAATAGTTAAAGCTGAGTGCACAGTGAGTCTTAATGGTCTCAAATATTGCTTTTAATTTAGGTGTTTGAACCGCACACAGCACATTTTCTTACTTTCAGGGAGCATGTGGCGGGTGGAATTCGCTTTACAAAAAGACAAACGTGGGTGGAGGTGCCTGGCTCGGTGGTTCTGCTTTACATGGCTTTCAAATGCCACCCCACATTAATAATTTATACCAACCACAAAATACTGAATGGGATTAGCAGCTGCTTCGCGTCCTCCGAGCTGTCTGAAGCCGCACAGAAGCACCATTCATTTAATTGTTTGGAAGCAATTATTGTTATGGATGTTGGCAAATCGTTCGGTGGAGATGATAGTCTGGGTGCATCATTCACAAATTGGGAGTAATGAGGGAAATTTTTCGTTTCATCCTCCATCTGTTCATCATTTTTCCGTGGCGCCCCCCCCAAGAGTTTCGTCTCTGTCCTTCACTTTCTCCGTCAGCACCTCAGTCGACCCGCAGCATCCACCTCTCCATCATCTATTGCTCTCTCGCTCCATCTCTGTGGCTCTTGTCTCTCCTTATCAACGCATCCCATCTCCCATCCTGTGCGTGCATGTGTGTGTGTGTGTGGGAAGGAAAGAACTTGAGTCCAAGCTAAGTTGCATTGTGGGTATTGTAGTCTCTGGTTCTGCTGCATCAATTTTGATCGTTTTATTACCTCAAAAGGAGAGTAAATGGAGTATCCTCTTAAAATTGTCTTGCAGTGTTGTTGCTATTTGAAATGTGTGCCTGGTGTTAGCATCCCCTTGTTTTGGAGGTGCATGGCAGTGAACCCTCTGATTGCCACGGGGTATTTTGCACTCTGACCCACCACACTGTACGTACAGTAGCACATGGTTGTGCAGGTTATCAAGGGCAGTTTAGGTGCAATTTCTTTTGGTTTACCTCCAAAGAAAGTAGTTTAGATCATCTGTCTGAACTGTTGGTTTGTTCATAAATTCAGTATCAGTGTCATAACTGATAGAAATGATGGTTGCCAAACGACAAAAACATAATCAAAGTTGTAATAAACAAGATTTATCCTTTAATTTCAGTGTAATTCTGTCTCTGCAAGTTTGTTAAACTTTATCAAATATTAATAATCCAAGTTTCAACACGTTTAACTGAATTGAATTAGATACATAGACATATTCTGTCTGTGTGTGTGTGTGTGTGTGTGTGTGTGTGTGTGTGCGCACAAAGTGAAAATAAATCATGACATGATCGTCGATCAATAAAAAATATCAAATTATCTCGACATAATGACACGTGTCAAACTGTTTAAAGTTGCCGAAGCATAAAGATGATTGAGAAACGGTCAGGAATCCCCTCTGTATCTGTGTGTGTATCTGTGTGTGTAAACAGCCCACACATACAAACACCCACACAAAATCTCCTTGAACGATCTATATTTAATAACACACACACACACACACAGACACACACACACACACACACTATGAACTTGAGTCACTCTGCAGAAAGCTCCTGCTTCCCTCCATCTTTCCTTTCCTTTTTTTCTTACCTCTTACCACTCTCCATCACTGAGCCTTTATATGTGTGTGCATGTGTGTGTGTGTGCGCATGTGTGTCTATAAGTGTGTGTGTGTGTGTGTGTGTTATATTACTGCAGCATACGAGAGCGGAGGTGGAGGCTGAGGGAGGGAAATGAGACACTGTAGGTAGCGTGGCCCCCTCCAAGCTGTATGTGTTTTTCACTCAAACTGGAAATTATCCATCTCACACCCACGCAACCGTCCACCCACCCACACACACACACACACACACACACACACACACACACAAACACAATCACAGGAACACTCATGTAACGCCTGCCATGTGATACACACATATGATGTCATGTACATTTGCTCGCACACCCACACGGACAGGGAGAGAATTGGATTTCTTATCTTTTATTTCTGTGCAGCTTTTGTAGATACAGAACACACAACATACACAGACACACACACACACACACACACACACACACACACACACACACACACACACACACACACACATTTCCACTAAAGATATGCTGGTACCCACTCCTTCACTCATCATACCCGGTTGCACATATGAAACCTTTTCCACCTCCTCTTTTCCTTTTTTTTTATTCTGCCCAGTCTCTTGTCTTCTCCCCTTCAGCGTTGGAAAAAGTGTGGGAACAATTACATAACATCACTCTGTGTGTGTGTGTGTGTGTGTGTGTGTGTGTGTGTGTGTGTGTGTGTGTGTGTGTGTGTGCGTGTGCGTGCGTGTGTGCGTGCGTGCACAATCATTTGTTTCTGTATCTGTCACTGTGCGTTTCTTAGCATTTCATAACGGCCAATTACAGCGTGTTGAACCGTCCGTCGTCCACTGTTGTCTCAGCGAGCGAAGCCGCAGGAGATGATCACATTTTCTCCGGATCATTACAAACATCCTTTTATTGGCTTCCACACCTTCCCCCTAAATCCTCACCCCCCATTTCACACACACACACACACACACACACACACACACACACACACACACACATACACATATCAACACCCCAAGCCTCTCCACTCCGCTGTGGGCAATATGGATGATCTATAAGCGTGGATTTATAACCCTATAACTCTGTTTATCTTGGCTCAAATCTATAAACCGAGGATGAAAGCAAGATAGCTCAAACTATTCAGATGTATCGCCCCAGCCTTTGCGGGGGAGGAGGTTCAATTAAGAGGAAACCAATCAGATTTCATCAACTGCCTTTCATATCCCGAGGGAAATTAGTCTTGGCAGCGGTTGTGGTCAGTTCAGAGGCGTGCATTACATTATTCTCTCAGATCCGCTGGCAAATTAAAAGAGGCTTCCAATTCATCAGCAAAAAGAAGCTTCTTTCAAGGGTGATATTTTTACTTATATATTTGTTTGTATTTTTTTATCACAGACTGATGTATCAGATCTACCGTATCTATTTAGTTATATGGGATTGATAACAGTAGGTGTGTGGTAGATCTGTCATGGAGGAAATGATGCCTTAAACGGAGAAACATTACATTATTTTTACCGTCAGGTGTGATCGGCGTATGAGCCAGTTGTTTCAAGCATAACCCGACCTTAAGGCTGCACAGGTCAAGGTTGTAGGAAGGCATCTAGCAAACCCAACTTTCATCCATCCATCCATCCATCTTTCTTCTGCCAACCCGGGGTCGGGTCACGGTGGCAGCAGAGCAAGCAGGAGGTTCCAGACCAGTTCCCTCTCTCCAGCAACGCTTTCCAGCTCCTCCTGGGGGATCCCAGGGCGTTCCCAGGACAGATGGGATATGTAATCCCTCCAGCGAGTTCTGGATCTACCCCGGGGGTCTCCTCCCAGTTGAAAAAGCCTGGAACAACCTCCAAAGGGTGGGTGGGGGGGGTCAGATGCCCGAACCACCTCGGCTGGCTCCTTTTCAACGTGAAGGAGCAGCGACTCTACTCCGAGCTCCTCACCAGATCTCTAAGGCCGAGCGCAGCCACCCTGTGGAGGAAACTCACTACAGCCTCATGAATCTGTGATCTCATTCTTCTGGTCACTACCCAGAGCTCATGACCGCAGGCGAGGGTTGGTTACGAAGATCAACCGGTGAATCGAGAGCTTTACCTTTCCAGCTCAGCTCCCTCTTCACCACAGCGGTCCGGTACGACCGTGCGACTATGGGTGAGCTGACTCTTCGATGCCATTGTTAGTTTCTTACATCACCACGTGACGACCTGTAGAGAGCCTTTCTGTCAGGTTTTGTTCTGGCCCAGGATTCTGCTGGTGCCTGAAGGCAGCACCAGGAATTTGTAATAGGGATCCTCGACCAACTTAGTGCTGTGCTGAGCAGCGGCGGAGCAGTGGGGGATGGTCATCAAATTAACTTTGTGTTTCAAGGGAGGTCAATCTATTGAGTTGTCACCGCAACAAGGAGCGGAGGGGTTTGGCCGGAGCCCGTGTTCTGGCACGGCGACGTGGCTTGGCAGCGGAAAAACCGCCGAGCGACTGCTGTCGTGTTTGCAGGTTTTGGCAGGCTCCGGCAGGAAGAGGGAGCTGAGTGTTTATGGCTGCTGTTCCAGGGTGTGTGATTCTGCTGAGGCAAGACCTGCTCGCACAATGTCAGCCACCCCCCCCCCCCGCTACTGTGCACATGGTCATGCCGTTGCTGTCGCGAAACATCCGGATGACGTGTTGACAGCGTAGCGCGTTATTGGACTGAGCGGTCGGCTGCAGGAAGGATGTGCTGAGGTTATAGTTCAGGGACAAGTCATCAGTCGATGTGAAATTGTAAAAGTCAGCAGTGTGCATGTTCAGACTCTTCAGGGAAATGTTATTTGATACTTTAATGGATCCATCTTTCTATTTCTTCTCACCTTACCTACTTCTATCCCTTCATCTCCTCAACCAGTTTTCAAAATCGTCTCATCTTCTTCCTCCTCACCGCATGTTTTTCTCCCCCCCTCCCCTTTTTTTTCTCCCTCATTTCAGGAAGTATAATATCCGTGTTGAGGACATTATGGTGCGGGACGTGCGATACATCACTCTCAACTGCTGCTACCGAGACCTGCATAACGTCCTGCTGACGGGTCACCTGAAGACCCTGGCCCTGGTGGAGTCAGCTGGTGAGACACAAACACACACAGACGCACTGGGAGAAGCAGCTTTAATAATTATCTATTGTAATACTCGTATGAAGCTCATTACACGTTTGTAATGGAGCATTTAACAGCTAAAGAGCCAGATACCATGGTGGAGACCAAAACAGAGCGTAAAGGAGTGAACATTGGACTTATATAACTTCAAATGGAGGATAATGTTGCTCCTTGTTTGCTGACACTGCTTGCTAACATGGACACTATACTATTTTTATAAAGTTGATAATATGCAAATGTTGTGTAGCTTGTTTTGTTTCCCCAACATGGCTGAAAAATGTACAGTGATGCAGCTTTAACCCCCTGAAATAAAGACGTTTTTAATTATTCAGGAACACATCCGCGGCTTCACTTCGTTTCCAAAAAACAGAGTCTATAAACGGCTTTCTTGCTTCATGTGTGATACAGATAAAAAAACATGTTATTTCACAGTCAGACCTCCACAGTTTACATTATTTTTCCATCTCCTAAACTGGTTATTGTGGTAGATTTCACCTTAAACCCTCTGTCATGACCTGGTTTGGTCTGGATGGGAAAAAAAGTGAAGGAAACACAAGATGAAGGCAAAATAATAAGACATTTATTTACAATAAATTGTGCAGTTAATGCAAAAAACAAAAGAAGTGTGGTCATCAGTAGAATCAGAATTCATCAGCAAAATCGAAGGATTCAGATTAAAAGCAGAAAGTCTTGACCCTCGTCACTTTGCTTGATTAAATAAAAGTATTGGAAACATTAAATCATCCAGGGAGAACAGACTTTTTTATGAAGCTCATCATTTTAAGACAGTTCTACTTTCATCAGATGTTTGACAGCTGTTGTGATGTGTGTTGTCTGATTGTCATATTGATGTCTTCGTTCGACATTGGACCGAGCGTCCTCTCCACTGTGTACCGAAAAACAAATTCTTGGCGACCTCGGCGTCGTGCTCATTACGGAGATTGATTGATTGACAAACCTGCCTGGGCGCAGCGAGCTGACGGGGGCCCGCGCTCGCCACCTCGCTGAAGTGCAGATTTGTTATTCCAACACTGTCTCAATTATGTAATCGTGCGGGAACAATTAGCTCCGGCATTTAACCAAATACATAATCAGCAAGTACTGTCACAAAGGCAATTACTTAAAGCAAGCAAGCTGCCACCCGCCCGCGCACACACACACACACACACACACACACACACACACTGGTTAATGCACATTCACTGCATTCTAGGCTGTTGTTATGTAACTCAGCTGATCTCTCTGCAGTGCTGCAACATGTGTTAGGAATCTCCTGCAGTCTGCTCACTCTTCCACAGTTAAACGGCTTTACTCTTGCACTTCTCATCCTCCTCCTCCTCCTCCTCCTCCTCCTCTATTTCCTGCTCTTGCTCCTTTTCTTCCTTCTCCTCCATAAAACTGCCTTCCACATCCTCCCATCATCCTCCTCCACTCTCTCTCACTTCTCCCCTTCTGTCTGTGTCTCCTCCCCAAGAGTCCATGATCCTGCTGGGCTCCATCGAGCGTGCCCAGCTCCAGTCGCTGCTGTCCCAGCAGCTCGGTCGGCCCAGGCGTCTGGAGTACATCAGGGAGCGAGCCGCCGCGGAGAAGAAGCGCCTGTCGGTCGTGTCGAACCCCTGCAGCGAGAACGACAGCCACCGGGCCAGTCAGGAGGTCCGCTTCCAGGTCAGGGTCACTGCAGCCGGAGAGATGGGGTGGAGAGGGACAAACAGCGACATTTGGAAACTAAATATTTATATAAATACATATATGTGACAAAGAAACTGTACTGGAGCTTGTTAGAAAAGAAAAGTTGGACAAAAGCTGTTAAAGATGGTCCCAAGATGATGGTATTACTTCATGGTCCATTTAAAGCCTTTTATGAGACTCAGTTTTCAAACAAAAATAATGAATCTGATCAGATCAAAATAGATAAAACACAAACAATTTAGGACCAATGAAGTAAATTAAATTATAGGCATCCGAAAAGAAAAGAATTCAATTAAATACAAAAAAATAAATAAGTAAATACCTAATACATAAAATATCAAACAGAGAAACATAATCTAGGCAGGTTAATATGACAAAACAAATGAGGAAATGTATTGGTTGGTAAGTGAGATTCAAAATAATATTCCACTATATCATGAAATAATTACAACCAAGTAAGCAACACTCAAAGTTAACAGTCAGAGAAGAAACATCCTGCGGTATTTTCTGTATGTTGCTAAATCCTGATTGGTGCACAGCAGCGCATGACATCACTGTTTTCCAACTGAGCCCCGCCCACTTCATATCAGTGAGGAGGAACAGAGAGAAAACTTCTCTCACTGTGGTGTATAATAGTGTGTTCATGTAGACTCCCATTGCTCATGGTAAAAAGGAACGTCGGGGTCTTTAAAGTTTTAACATTTGAAATTAAGACCGACGTGTTAAATAAGTAAAAACGACAGAACAGTTGGCTGGATGGAACCGAGCGAAAGAAATCAAGAGTAACTCACATCACCAGATCTGCTTGTGACATTCACACCCCTTCACTGTTTGCGCCCTTTATTGTGCTGTAGATTTAATTGTTAATTGATTATTTTTGCCCCCCCCCTCCCTCCCAGTCGACACTCAATAACCCGTAATGAGAAACATGAAGAGTCCTGCTGGTTCAGAACTTCGTCCTTTTCACAATCATTCAGGAAACTGTGCTCCTGGGAAAACTCTTGTTACTTGCACTTCATGGCTTGGTTTCTGTCTTGGATTGGACTCAACTCAAGTTCTAAGACACGAATCAGGGATAATTAAAGCAGCAGACGCACCTGAACACAGTTCGGAGTGACGAGCAAAGGGTCTGAATACTTTTGTGAAAACATCTTCTTACTTTGTCAGTGTCGGTCGTTGAGTGTAGGTAAAATGGGCAAAAATTTAAATTTTATTCATTTAAAATTAAATTTCCAACACAATAAAATGTGATGGGGTTGCCACTGTATCTGTTGCACTTAAAGCTCTTGGAGATAAAAAGACAAAGACTCCTGCTTGGATAGTTTTAAAAGAAGAGGAAAGATGTTGAAGTGTGAAACGCACACTGGGTGTTTTCCTGTGTGTGTGTGTGTGTGTGTGTGTGTGTGTGTGTGTGTGTGTGTGTGTGTGTGTGTGTTACAGGTTGATAGCTCCGAGCATTAACGTGTGTTATTAAGCCATCAATAACAGAGATAAGGAGACTGCATGAGGTTCAGTGTGTGTGTGTGTGTTTAAGAGAGACAATTGGAAATGGGCAGCCATGGTTTTAGGTGGATGTATAAATTGGTTCCAGGCCCTGCGTGCACTGTGCTGCTCCAAATGTCGATTTATCTCTTTGCTCTGTCTTCATTTCAATTTCATCCGTTTGCAGCGAGTGGCTGAGTAGAACACCCTCCGGCACATATGTGAGGGCGTGTGTGTCTGTGTGTGTGTGTGTGTGTGTGTGTGTGTGTGTGTGTGATGCTCATTTACCTTATCTCTCTTCTCTTTTCTTCATTTCTCTGACTTCATACCCTCTTTCCAGTTTCTCTGTTCCTTCTCGTGCAGCGGCATGTTATTCAGATTCAGGCCATCTTTGTATCAAACGTCTTGATTAGTGATCTTTTAACGACCCCTTTTATGCCAGAAGTTAGAAATATGTGTCATTTTGCTTCTTTTAGTTTAGTTTAGTTTCATGTTTCCGTCTCGTCGGCAGAAATCTCCGAACTGCTTCCTTAAAGGAAAAAACAGACTCATCCACCTCTGTTGTGTTTTTAAAGCAGACTTTAAAAAAAACAAAAAAAAGCACTGCTTTTCTTTAATTTCAGAATTACTTCGCAAAAGACAAAAAAACAGAAAATTGAAAAAATGAAACAGGAACAGTATTAAAGAAACTCCAACCGGCTGATGTCCAATATCAAAGGACAACACCAGCCTCCTATATCAGGAATAATAATGAATTTATAAACGGGCAACTTCACAGAATTCTAATTAATTTCACACAAGTATTTGATCTGTGAAATGTTTTATGGTTGAAACTAAATTCATTAACACAACCCAGCAAAAAAAATCTTTTTTAGGTCATGGAAATTCCAGCACGGAAAGTCATTGAAGTCATGAAATGTAACATCAGGGCCGACATGAGAGTTCGTCTTTTAACTCTCAGCTCCAGCTGTTTTTTTTTTTTTTGCGTCTGTTTTTTTTTTCTTTTCTTTCTTCATGTGCTTTTTCTTTTAGTTTCGTCTCTTTCCCTCCTTTGATTCTCCTCCATCTCATCACTCTGCAGAAGTGCATCCATTTGTCTAATGAGTTCTCTGTACGAGACAGAGGGGTTGATCTTTTAAGCAGGACGAGGGTTTGGAGTGCTGTTTCTTATCTTTGTGTGTGTGTGTGTGTGTGTGTGTGTGTGTGTGTGTGTGTGTGTGTGTGTTTGCAGATCTCTACCGAGGAATCATCCTTCAGTCCTACTCGTCCAGTCCCTCAGAAGCCACTCAAACCTGCTCTGAAGAGATCCTCTGTGGTTGAGCGACCCACCGAGATCCCCAGCAGTAAGACACTCACTTACACACACACACACACACACACACACACACACACACACACACACAGACATGCAGGAGACTTTCCAAACAGTACACAGGTGACGCAATCCAGAAGGGAAAGTATGAGGGATTTAATAGATCCGGAAGGAGTGTCTGTAATGGCCTCTCTGCCTCTACAGTCAAATAACACTAAAAGCACCTCTTAGTCTCTCTCTCTCCCTCTCTTTCCCTCTCCCTCTCTCTCTCTCTCTGTCTCTCTCTCTCCCTCTCTCCCTCTCTTTCCCTCTCCCTCTCTCTCTCCCTCTCTGTCTCTCTCTCTCCCTCTCTCCCTCTCTGTCTCTCCCTCTCTCTCTCTCTCCCTCTCCAAAAAAAATCTTACAATCCATCTCTTCTTTTTTCTCACCATATTTCACATATTTCAGTTTCCCACGTTTAAACTTCCTCTTGTGGCATGATCATATATGAGTAATAATTAATACCATAATATGAATAATAATAATGAGTAATTGTGTATGAATCAATGAATTTACAAAGCAAGTTGCACAATGTTTCCAGTGATTATAATAATTTAGGAATAAGGAAAAAGAGTGGTATTCACATTTGCTAAATATAAGATGAGATATAGTATAAGAATGAACTTAATTCATATATGTTGCTGCTTCATTGTCAGTGTGAGTTTTTCCTCTGGTAAACACTGAGTCTTGTTTTGCTGTGAGTGTAGCAGGAAGTGTTGCTCAGCTCGTTGGCAGAACCGTTGGTTTGTTTTCTCTGGTTTCTTCTTGTTTGTTTGTGTCCACCAGTCTCAGCGCCCAGGCTCTGGTCTCTCAGTATGTGTGTTCTTTTTATTTTATTTATCTGTTTATTCATATCTTTCTCACAGTGCCCAAATAATCTGCCACTCAGTCCAGTAGGACTGAAGTTCACTTTGGTTTTGTCGCAGATGTCCAGTGGTTGCTGGATGTTTTCTTCGGCTCTTATTTGGTTGGTCCAGATTTTGTAGCATTGTCCTGAGGCCACGTACCGTTGTGCCCGGGCCTTACTATAATGAGGCTTTGGTTCTGGATTCTTTTTGTGTTTCCACCGGATTTTACGAACACGAGACATTTCAAATGTCCGCCGTGGAAAAAAGGCAAACGCAGGACCAGCTGCATCTTTTTTTTCCTGCTGTTTGATCAAGCAAAGTAAGCAGTCGTGGACAGATAACAATATATCTCGGGACAGAAAGTTATTATTCTTTTCTTTGGCTCCTATAATTATTTAAACAAGGAAATGAGCATTTATTGCTCTTTGTGTATCTGTGGATTTCTTTTTCCGGTTGTTCTCGTAGCCGCAGGTTGTAGCTATGATAATGCGACAATACGCAAAGTTAGCTGTGCAGGTAGCTGGACATGAACACGCTCACTGCTGGTGTCCCTAAACATCAACCAGCAGCAGGGGTAAAGTTAGCATACATGTAACACTGGCTAATACTGGATAAAAATGTCCTGCTGTTTTCCTGCCAAGTTAAGAGCATGAAGCCCAGCGAGATCTTGTTTTTCTCTAGATTCATCATCAAGGTCCAGGTCTGACAGAATTTTTGCACATGATGCAACTGTTGTTGTAACACTTGTTTAGACGGGACCAGTAAGATTAGGTCTGCAAACAGACGGCACATGATTATCTAACAGATGGAGAGCAGGGATCTTTGATGGTTTCACTGATTATCTCTCTCTCTCTCTCTCTCTCTCTCTCTCTCTCTCTCTCATTCAGGTCCAAACGATAACTCGGGCATTGCTTTAAAGAACCTGTTCTGTGCCAGTCCAGACACAGAGGGCCTGGAGGTGAGAGAGTCATTACCTCGAATATACCCATTACACACACACACACAGACACACACACACACACACACACACACTCACACACACACGGTGGCTCACATCCTGTCGTTCACACATTCTGTACACCCACACAGTCCTATGCTATCTCTCACATACAGTCCTTCACGCTCTACAGTACAGCACCTCCCACACAAACAGACACACACATATACAGAAAACACACAGACACACACACAGACACACAGTATCTCAGTCGCCCTCAATATAAAACCTTTTTCACTTTGTCTCAGTCTTGCATCCTGCAAGGCTTTAAAGAAAACCCAGCTCCTGCACCACCCTGCTAATGGCTTGTTTCATAAAAATAAGGTTTCAATTTATTTTTTCCCCCCCACAGCATTGCAGTGAGGTTTGCTCACGTCAAAGTGGCGTTTTGCAAGGAAGTTTACGTTTTGCAAAGTCACTCTGACGTTGAGGTTGTTGTTTAACACTTGTGTGCTTGTTTCTGATCGTCCGGAAGAAAAACAACAACATGGAGAGCCCCACGTCTCCTGAGCTCAGGAAGCCGTCCAAAAGAGTCAGGATATCTGTCGTGGTAAGAGCCACCGATCGAGGTTACCCAAATGCCCGGAATCCGCCCGGCAACAGGTTCATCAGCAAATCAACTGATTGTCACCACCGTCATCTCCATCCCAGGGCTAATCCCAAATGCCGATGGCCAGGCTCCGCCAAAAGCCCGACTGTGCCATCGTGCCAAAAAGTGTTGAACACCCTCATCCTTGTCCAACCTGTGAGCCCGCCCGCTGACCTCTCACTGCCTCTCAGCCTGGCATCCATTCATCTCAATCAGCCTCCCCTGGTCCCGTGGTCAATAGAGGACACCAACACTGCTTAGCGCCAAAGCCGATGATGCATCAAATGCTTTTTTTTTTTTACTTCTTTTTAACTTATTCCACTGTCCTTTGTGACAGAGCTCTTTAACATTTATGTATTTTATTTAAGTGTTGTTCTTGACAGCTGTTTCATTTGGTTATTATTTTCTTAACTTCCAATGAGCCTCCTGCCGATTAAATTTAGCTTTTCTCAAATCTGCAAATTCCCTGAGGGAGCAGTGTTCATGGGGTGAAATTACGCCCCACTACTGTCGTCTTACAATTAAAATACGATTGAGTAACGGGCAAGTGGTCTACGAGGACGAGGCTGTTCAACCAAGCATGCTGTGCTGTCCATCATCAGCTGTGTCACCCGAGGCGTCCTATCAGTGACTGCCTCCCAGAGCAGGATCCCACCCTGTTCCTGGAGTGACCCAAAGTCCCATCGCACTCCTTGTAATTGATGAAAGAAACGCTGTGCTATACCATGTGTTTAATGTGCAAGGGGGGCGGGAGGGGAGGGGAGGGGGCGGGAAGCACCATACTGGGGCGAGCTCCTCTGTGCATGCAGCGTTAAATACCAGGATAGGAGCATCATCTCTCTTCATTAGCACCAGGCAGGTATTTGAACGACAGCGTTCCAGCAGCAGCTCAGATGAAATGATGATGCATGAGAAGTCCTGGGAGGTATTGGAAAATATCATCACAAACCGGGATGCGGCCTGCTGTCCAATTAACAGCGGCCGCACGCTCTCCAGCAGCGATGCATGTCAATCAATGGAACAAGTGCCTGATTGTGAATTGAGACAAATGATTCCACGATACGAGATCATCCGGCGTTGCATGACGAACGATCACACGTGCATCCGTTTCTGAAAAATCATAACACCATTAAGCTTTACATAATCAAACCAAATACGTCGATACGTTTGGCATCAGTGATTTATTTGTAATCTGAAACCTTTTCACATCGCACAAGTTTTCATATCATCGTGAAATTGTTTCTCACTCACCGCATATGATGTCATTTCATTCACTATAGGAGCCACCACCCAGCTTAAAGAGTTTCTTTGGGGTGAGCATGTTATCCACGTTTCTTCTACACATTTGCTTTTCATTTTTATTTCAATCCAGTGTTACGATGAAAGAGCAGATACAGACTTTCAGTGTCAGAGTTGCTCGCTGTGCTCACAGTGGATCTTCGTCTTGATCATCTCGTACACTTGGTTGTTGAAGTCACAGCTGTTACACACTTTTCTACTGATTCAGTGCTTTAATCATCCAGACGTTAGAGAAACTACATTTTTGATGCAGCCATTTTGTCTGGGATGACATAAAAGTGATGAAGGTGTGTTCAGGGCGTTATTACCATGAATATGGCTGCTGAATTGTTTATGCAGTCTGTGTTTATTCCCCTCCACTGTATACTGTAAACCGTCATACAGAAATTTAGTATTTTAGGTAGTTTTTACCTTAACATAAATTCCTAATGTTTATTTAATTTCAAATCAAAGCAACTTAAAATGTCTAGTTTTTTATTTTCATCCCACTTCAGAGGTTGTAACCATGAGTTGTTCTGACTTGAGTTCACTCAACTCATTAAATAAGTTTCTAAGGAAACATGATCAGCATCCAAGGACTCTTACTTTGTAGTTTTAAGAAAACAGAGAGTATTCAATACGTGTTAAGTCATAAAATTGTTTCTTTTCAAAATGATGCAAACCACAGTTAAAATATGATATAATATTGAATTCAGTCCCTACCCCAGTATACTTATATCACACAGACCACGTGTGTGTTTCTGNAGAGAGTATTCAATACGTGTTAAGTCATAAAATTGTTTCTTTTCAAAATGATGCAAACCACAGTTAAAATATGATATAATATTGAATTCAGTCCCTACCCCAGTATAATTATGATATCACACAGACCGCGTGTGTGTGTTTCTATGATGGCTCAGACTGACTGATCTCAAAACTTAACTGTTTCTGTTATTTCCCTCCAGTCTCTTCTTTTTTCCTCTTTTCTCTGTGCGTTTATAAAATGAACTTTATACGGACTTGGAATAAGCACAAAGCTTTAGCTCAAGTTCAGACATTTTACACCTGCACAGATAACCCATCTCCCTGCAGCAAACTCATGTCCTGTAGTGGAGAGTAGGAATGTTAAGCTAGGTTTATCCCCTGGCACTCGGTTAGCGTAGCCTAGCGTAGCCTAGCCTAGCTGTAGCCTAGCTGTAGCGTTGCTGTGGCGTCCTGTGCAACAGTAATAAATTTCATCGCAAAATAATGATGATGCAGTTGTTTATCAGATTACTAAATAATAATAGTAATAATATGTGTATTTAGTATATTACTCAGCAGATGTTCTTTGTTAGCATGAAGTATCTCAAGTAGCTATATGAGAAGTAGCTTGTATTGTAGCTACTTCCCATAATAACTAGCTTACAGCTTCACTACCTGCAGTTTCCAAGTAGCTTTTCCCAACACCACTCGCATCTTAACATTGACTCTGAATGAAATTGTGATATTTGGGCACAACATCTAAAATCTGCTTAGAATTCAGTCTGAACAGATGTTAACAGGCAGCAAAGTAGGTGCGTTTTCATTTCAATCCAAGAAACTTTATTTGTTCCCAGGAGGCATTTTAAAGGGCACATAGAGTAGACATTAAAACACACACAAAATAAGCAAAAAAAAACAACAACAAAAACACACACACACAAGCAGTGCAAGACATAAGAAAAACAAAAGAAAAACGACAAACGAACCCTAATGGAAATGTTTATTTGTCCCCAACATCACTTGAGTATAATTATAACCCATTGCCTCAGATTCTCAGTCACTGTGTCAGTGTAACTCTATTAGCATTATTAATGATTTAGACTTGAGGCACTTTAAAGGGCTCCATTAGTTTCACATGTCAGTGACAATTATTGAAGTCCGTACACATTTTCAATCATTCACAAGCACGGAGCAGTGTCAGATCATTCTTCATCTGTTGCTTCGGGGCTTGTACAAACTCGTGGTTCAAAGCTAATAAATTACACTGTGAAGTCTAAATCTTGTTGGTAAGTAAGAGAAAATACTGACAACATCAGGTTCTCAAATCACTGTCCCCACCAAATGGATCTCAGACGGTGTTCAACCGTAGCTCCGTGTCCATGTTTGATTTTTCTAATATCCAGCTCTGCAGTTTCCTGGTTCTTTAACACAATCCACAGTACACAATTACACAGCAGAAGTCAGACTTGCCCAGAGAAAAGTACAAAATTAATAACAGAGGTTGCGCACAGGGAGTGTTTTTTTTTTTTTTTTTTTTTTGGTGTAAAATGTGAAGCCTGAGGCGTGTATTTCACACCGTGACACCACAGCGCCCGTGTTGTGAGTTGTGTGGCGGCAAAACACCGAGGCGGGTGTATTGCAACCGGAGGAACTTTAGTTTGAGGTGAATGAGGAAACACATTTCCTCAACTGTAGTAATCATAGAGATTAATGAAAAGAAAATGTACTAGTTTCACGTATTTACAGCAGAAGTGCAGCTCATTACACGGTCCGTCTCTCTGTGAGGCAATGTCTGTGCAACAGCACAGCACGCGTTCACTGGCAGCTAAATTCGCATTGATTGTCCTGACGGGGTGCTACGGTAAAGGTCAGAATTTACAAAAACACCACAGTTTTCATTTTAGTGAAATTTTAAATGAACAAAAAAACCTCTCATTATTCATTCGCCACAGCGTGGTGCATTATTCCTGCGAAATGGCATCTTTCATTAAGCGTATTAGTGAGTAGGTACAGTAGGGATTCAGGGCCGCAGGGGGTTTCTAGGCACCCTTGGTAAAATAAAGCGCTATTCACACAGGACTAGTGTTACATATGGGGGGTGGGGGGGGGGGGGGATTTACAACAAATACAGAAGTGGTTTCAGCTGTTAATCCGGCGCAAAGCCTCCGTGCTCTAATCTGTAAAGTAAACATCGTGCAGCAAATTACCAAACATGTTTCAACACCGAGGTCATCAGACAGTTTCCTTCTGAACCTGGAATCACAGTAATTTCAGGTCTCATATATTCTGCAACTTTTTTTAATTTCTCTTCTGAGTCGGACATCAACTATCGAGGCTGCAGTGAACATTATTAACGCCATCAATTACAGGTTTAGGTGCAGATTTAGGAAGCTCATGGATCACAGAGACCCATTTAGGAGAAGGTGTGAAATGAAATCCCGAGTAAAATCTTGAAAGATGAGTTGTACCTTTCAACAGACTCGATAAAAACTTCTCAGGAATACTACAGCTACTTCTTATTCTAGTCTGTGTTATGTTGTATATCAATTGATTTATTGGTATTTGGTCTGTTGGAGGAAATTTGACTTTATCAGTGTGAATGTACCAACCAAAAACTTTTATATATTTTAAATCAAATCATATCCCCAAGTGCTTCTATATGTTTATGCATTTTAGAACTTATGAAATTGTGCTATAATTCAAGACACTGTGCCATTTGACTGATGAAAGTCACAAGAAAACAATGCACCAGTATCAATCAGGTCATTTTCTGCCATTAATTTGGACACCATAATATAAAAATTAAATTTCATGACAATACGTAATTTTTTTTAGATTGATACAAATGCTGGCAATAACATTCGTAAACGTGTTTATTTTTTATTTGTATTTCTGACCACTTGTGAAACCAAACCTGCACCTCTGGTTGCAGCAGAAAC